CCGCTGAAATTGCCGGAGGACAAAGAGGTCTTATGATGATGCTGCTGGCGAGCGAGCGAGCGAGCGAGCGAACGAACGGGCGAATAGAGCGAGTTGCTCGTGGACAGGGACACCACTGTATTCTCCGCTTCACCCTTTGCCACCAATCCGCCGCTCCCTTTCGCCCCGCCGCTCCTTCTGCCACTTCCCGCTCCCTCCCCTCCGCGACCCCCCCCCCCATTATCCGTCATTCTCGAACTGGTATTCCGATATCGCGTGCGGCGTCGTGCCGTTGCCCCTGTCGCGGCATCTTCACTTGCGAATTAGTCACCATCGTCCATTAAGCCCTTTAAATGGGAAACATTTCTCCCCATGGAGCATAATTCGTATACGCTGAACATCTCTAATGTTTTTCGTTTCGAAAATTGTGGAAATGGACGACAAGTATCTTCTCGGTAATAATTAATAACGTTAAACCCTGCAAAACTTGCAAATTATCGCATTAAAGAAAGAAAATTTGGAGTATGCATTGTGGCGTATCGTTACAAAATTAGAACAATCTCCAATCGCTATATTGAATGTATGATAATATTCGCTTACTATGATGAAACAGTTCCTCATACTCGATTGGACGATTTCTTTTAATGTCATTATTCCTTTGGGAAGAACCTGATCCTTTTAACGAAGGGTAATTCGTGACCTTTGGACGAGCGGAAGAAATTTATCGCGTTTACTCGGGCCCTTATAATCATCTTATAAATGGCACTAAATTTAATTAATAGTATGACTCAGACAAATCTTGATATAAGGAATATTAATAAATAGATCCATGGATCAATAGTCAAAAATTTCGCGATCGTGTTTCTTCTATGTTACTCGCTTGTATTTAAATTAATTGTTCATTCTCAAATTATTGATTCATCTATTATTAATTGATTCATCTATTATTAATTTCAACTTTATTTAGCAGTAAAAACTGCATGCAAGATATAAAATTGGTAGGATCGGTATGCAACTACGCTTGTCTTCCTCAAATTCTTTTCCGCCTTACATAATTAATAAGGCAGTACTCGGAATTAGTTGCCCTTTTCGGCCTGATTTCGAGGTGACGCCTACAGTTCTCCCGCTATCGCTCAAGACTTGACGGTCGAGCCGCCGTCTTATATTAAAAATCCATCCGAATTGTATGCATTTTTAATACGTAAAACGCTCCTGAAGCACCAGGTAGTCTCGGCGGCTCGGCCGTCAAGTCTCGAGCGGGGGAACTGTAGGCGTCGCCCTTGAAATCAGACCGAAAAGGGTAACTAATTCCGAGCACTGGACTAAAGGAACGTTAAGATATATGAAAAGAA